CCCCCCCCCCCCCCACCCCCAACAACAACTTCAAGCCTCGTTTGGGGTATCAGGTCCGGTGCTCCAATGATTTCATGTTTTCCGCGGGCGAGCAAAGAACGCGCCGCCGTCCGTTTAATCGATAGCAGATGTAAGAGGCGAGGCAAGCGGGTGAAAGGTCAGCGTTGCCATGGGAACGATGTCGGAGTTCTGCGGCGGCGGGTAGGGCTCAGGGTTCAGAGGTCATTGCCGGCGCCCTTCCGGACAAAGGCCCCCACTTCCCCCCCGACGACGACGGACGCCCATTTAAGGGCGGGGCTGCGACGCGCTAGCTTGGACGTCCCCAGCGGGCGCCGCCACAAAGCGGTAGCGGCTCATTTGTTGCTACTTCGATGGTGGCAAAGGGCAGGGGGGAATCCCCCCCCCCACCCCCTCCCAAATGACCAGCCCACGCCCACCATCCATCTGTCCCGCGGACGGACGCGTGGGGTCTTTCTTTGGATTTCATGTCCGATGACGCCAATGTCATCGGAGGCCCAACGCGGGCTCCCGAACTGACCCGCGGATGCTTTTGGCGTTCTTGCAGGTGCTACAACTGCGGCGGTCTGGACCACCACGCCAAAGAATGCAAGTTGCCGCCTCAGCCCAAAAAGTGCCACTTCTGCCAGAGCATCGATCACATGGTGGCCAACTGTCCGATCAAAGCGCAGCAGAGCTCGGCCGCTTCTCAGGGCAAGCCGTCCGCCTCCGAGGTTAACGAGGAGGAGGAGAGCGACCGTGCTTCCACGCCGCCGCCGCCTCCACAGGAGCCCTCCTGTTAGGGAGAGGCCCGATGGAGGTGGGTTGCTTTGGGGTTTTTTTTTTTTTTGTTGTTTTTCGGGAGGTGGGCAGGGTGGTTAGCAAAGAGGCCAATCAAAGTGCTTTGACACAAGGGATCACCTCTTGGATCTAAATCGGGTTGAAACGAGAAGAATCTTTGCTGATTTGTTTATTTTATTTTATTTTTTTTTGTTATTGTTGCTTCAACTCCTCTATACTGGTTGCATTATTGTGAGAATCACTGGCGTTCTTTCGAGACCTTCGCGTCACGCTCGCAAAAGAAATCCGCTCGGAAGATAACGTTACTTTGGGGTCAATCGCTCGGACCCGAGGCCGAATGCCGGCAACTGAGGTTCCGAAAAAGTAGAAGAACAGACACGGCGCAAATTCAGAGTTGCCGCGATGAACTTTTCTGTCGCCCGCATGAATGACGCCCGCGCGCACGCTCGCCCCATCCATGTTTTGCTTCGCGCCCGACAAGCCGGCCCGACTTTCGATGCGTCCCTGCGAGAAAAAACGTCGGGGCGCTTTCTTGGTTCCTCGTCTGTCTCGTGAGAAGGCGGCGCTCCACCTTTTGGCGCTCTGGCAATCGTCTCTCTTCTGTACAAATATTGATCACGTTCATTCAATTGCTTCTGCTTGATTGGATTATTATAGATATATATCAATTTTTTTTTTTTTTTTGGGTGTGTTTTACAGAATTGAAAAAAAGCCACCTCTGATATCGATAGCGATGTGTAGCAGTGCAATTAAAAAAAAAGAAAAAGTTTTTCTTTCAAGTTGGCGCTAATCAATCACTTCCTGCCCCCCCCCCCCCGAAGGGAAGTAGCCTGGCGCCTTTTGCTTCTTCTGAAAATGAGGGCCCGACCAATTAATCGGCCTGCTGATTCAATCTTAGCGAGCAAAAACTCGGTATCGGTCGGGCCTCGACGACGACCTTCGCGGGAGGCGATGACGCGGACGATCCTCCCACCTTTTTCTTGCGCTGGCCTCTCGGGCCGTTCTACCTCATCCGTTTGGCTTTTCAACTCGGGTGGTCACGCGACGCGGTCGAGCCGCCTCGCTCGCTTTCGGCGCCGAGCCGGCACGATAAGTAGAAGTGCAAAGCGCATTGCAGCCATCCGCGCCGATGTCAAAGGGGAAGCGTTTTGGGCTTTCTCTTCTTGCCGTCACGCTCACCGACCCGTCTCACGCCGCGTTATTCGTACGACTCCGGATCTGCCCACTTTTGAATGCAATGCCGACCGACGGTACCTCCGTCGCGGTGAGCGAGGATGTTCCAGAACGCGCCACGCTATCGGCTACTCCGTTTGTTAGCGTGCCGAACCCAACGCGCGCGCAAAGATCCGAAGCGATCGTTATCGAAGACGACGCCGCCCTCCCAAGTGTAGGGTCATCGGTGCCGGAAACGGCCAAACCTGCGCGGAGGAGCCCGTATGTAGAACTAGCTAGCTAAATCAGCCGGCGCTATACTCCCGTTTTACAGGAGACCCCACTTAATATATATGTATATGTCAAATTATTCTTTGTTGTGTTAGAGAGAGAAAACGAATCACGCTACGTATTTATTTGCATCCGGAATTCTCAAGTCGGCCTTCCAACGGCCAGGGGAACTCGATCGGTGCCCTTCGATTAGCGTTCGGCGCAGTCGACGGTCCCGGCCGGGCGCGGACTAGGTCGGGGGTCACCGACGGGGTGAGCGCGGGCACCGGGGAGCCATCAAGGACCACACATGAGTAGCCCGCGCGCCTCTTCCAAAAATAGGAGAGACCGTGACTCCCCGGGAATCTTGTCGAAGCCATCTTTTTTTTCAAAATGTGAACGTCCGGCAGCTATTTATCATCAAGTGGGGCCAATTGATCCGTTTGGTAATTATTGTGCGAAATCGCTAAGGCGACCGGTGTCTTCTCCGAAATGAATAGCATGAATTAGAACGTACGAAGGTAGCTCGAGCCAGTTTCTTTCAAAAGCGCATCCTATCGAAGCGCTCGCCCTCCCCGTTCATCGGGGAGCCAAGAAGGAGCGCTTCGTTTCAAAAAGCTTGCTGAACCCTGGACTGCATTGGCTGGAATTGAGTAACTGTGTCAAAATGGAGTGAAACGGGACATTTTCCTCAGGGCCCACATCCACGCCTAGGAGAGACCTGAATAGAAATAGGAGTTCAGAACATTCCCAAAACATTCTCCCATCGTTCAAGTCAATTAAAATGATTAAATTGAATGAATTATCCTTCATTTTCCATGACCGTCTATCAATTCCAATGCCCATCCCTTTTACGAATATTTTACAGGGCATCAATAACATACAGTATGTCTCACACACACACACACACACACATTATATGTCTCTTTCGAAATACCTCTCCTTTTATAAGTTGTTTTTTTTTTTTAATGCGCTTGTCGGCTCACCTCAGGAAAAAATACGCCCGTCTTGAAAACTCAGGTAATAATTCGGACGGGTGGGAAAAATGAGTCAACAAGTGCATGCTGAATATTGTACACGCGCCCGCGGCCCTCGAAAAACCACTTGACATGCCGCTTTTTTTGTCATGTTTTCCCCTGTAATGTTTTTTTCCGTGACGATGGAGTTGAAAATTCTCAAGGAAGGGATGGCGACGGGGGGGGGCGGAGCTTGAGTAGTGAATGAAAATGCCTGCTCCAGACGATCGGTATAGGCGCTATCCGTGTAATCTCGAGTGAGGTGCAGATGGGGAAGGGAGAAGACGCTGACGTGAATCTGAACGCCACTTGACTTGATTTAGAAAGTGGCTTGTGGCGTCGTCTGCTATGGTGGCCGCAAAAGGCCCCCCCCCAGTCATGTGGTGTTGGGATTCGAAATGTCATGATGAAGGTAGTGAATGAAAATGCCTGCTCCAGACGATCGGTATCGGCGCTAACCGTATAATCTCGAGTGAGGTGCAGAAGGGGAAGGGGAACCTAAAGGCAAACAACACCTCAAAGTCATTGATCAAAGCACATTTAACTTACACACGCTCATATGTATTGACAAACATCACGAACAAGCCACCCCCCCCACGCCCTTCCTTCCTTCCTTTGGATAAGCTTTAAAATTCTCAGGGTAACTCTTACTTGTTTGTGACCATCAGCCATTTAATGATTTTTTTTTTGTTTTTTGTGATGTATCTTATCAATTGAGTGGCTAGAGCAACCCCCCCCCCCCCCCAAAAAAAAAAAAAAAATGTGCATTTATTACTGATGAATGTAAATCAATGTTTTCTGCCATGGAAACAATGATCTTGATCTCAGGCTTGTTTTTTTTTTTTTTTTTTTGTCTAAGATGAGCAGCGTGTAATGTTTCGACATGTACAGATCCTGCTCCATTGCTTAATAAATATGTTTAATACTCAGGCCTGGTGTTTTTCTGCAGCAGCAGCACACGGCGAACATCAACATCAAATCAAACATCAAAAACAAGACTTTTTAAAGTTCTCATTTGTACTTATTTTTATTTAAACAATTAGATTATAAACATTTTTTTGTCTCTCAAATCTCTCAAGAAAACGGCCAATGTTTGTCAACATAACAGCACTCTCGTATGCTTGCTGTCAGTCAAATGTAGTCGACTGTACGTCTTGGTACAGTTGACGTTTTATGAATCTTGACAAATGTTCTTTTTGTACAGCTGAACCTGAAAGTGTGCCTCATTTGCTTTTGTTTGACTGCCCCATTAGTGCTGCGTTTTGGAAAGATTTGGCAAACGATATGGCGTCAAATATATATATGTATATCGAAAACATTACGCTGAATAGAAAGAAACTAGTTTGTTCGAAAATAAAGAAAACAATATATATATATATTTTGTTTTGTGAGAAAAAATTCACATGTCTCGATTCCACCCCATCATTGATATTCTTTTTGATTGAGGTGGCTAATTAGTGTGGCTTGAGCTAATAAAAATGTAGACCAATAATTGCTATAC